CCATCTGTAACACTCAAGGACTTCCCAGACTTCAAAGGCCTCCACAATCTGGCCCCACACTGTCTCTAGCTTTAGAGTCCACAACTCTCCTATAGACCCACTCCCCACGTAGATTAGACTTGCCTAGTTACTGTCCTCTGATCAGGCCTTTTTGTTTATAACAGATTTATTGAGATATAATTCACAACTCATCCATTTAAAGTGCTTGACTCAAGAGGTTTTTGGTACATTTCACAGAGTTATGCGACCATCACCAAAATAAATTTTAGAACATTTTTATCACCCACCTCTCCCCCAAAAAAACCCATACCCATTAAGCAATCAGTACCCATTTCTGCTCAAACTCCCAGCCCTAGGCAACCACTAATCTACTTTCTGTCTCTATGGATTTACCTATTCTGGACATTTCATTTAAATGGAATTGTACAATATGTGGTCTTTGTACCAGGCTTCTTTCACTTAGTATGTTTTCAAGGTTCATCCTCATCATAACATGTATCAGTACTTCATTTCTCTTTATAGCTGAGTAATAGTCCACTGCAGGACAATATCATATTTTGTTTATCCATTCATCACTTGACAGACATTTGGGTTGTTTCAGCTTTTGGCTGTTATGAATAATGCTGCTATGAACATCTGTATACAAGTATTTTGTATGGATATATATTTTCACTTGTATGGAAATGCTAGGTCAAATAGTAACTCTATGTTTAACCTTTTGAGGAACTGCGAGACCATTTTCCAAAGTAGCTGCATCATTTTACATTCCCACCAGCAGCGTGTGAGTGTTCCAATTTTTCCATATCTTTGTCAACACTTGTTATCTTTTTTCATTCTAGACATCCTGGCCTCATTGTGGTTTTGTGACCATGCCATTTGATGCTCCATTTCTGAGTTTATAGCCACTCTATTCCACTCACCTAGATGCTGTCTTCTCTATGTTATCTTACCAATTCATCGACACCCAGCTTAAACTCTACAGTCTTCTTGAACTATATATGTCTCTCCAAACTTACTTCAAATGACCCTGTGGCTTTGTTTCCATTTATATTTTCTGCAGTTATATGCTTTTATGCTTACTTATATCTTCTTCTCTCCAGCCAGGAGCTCCTTAAGAAGTGGGGCTAGGTCTTACATCTCTTAGTGGCCAGTAAGAAGCCTGTCAAATAATTGATACTTCATAAATGTTTGCTGATAATGGTTGTATGTATGTGCTGAGGCTGAGTTTGGGCAGTATAAAAGTGAAGAAAAGGACATTTTGAATCTTGGACCAGGAGGGAGGAGCAGAAGTAAAGAACTTAGCAGTGGAGGTCAGTCCCCTTTCTCATAGGGAACTGTTATTACACAGAGGACAGAATTCATGACTTTGATGTTTCATACTACGCCCACTCCTCACTTATCGACATGGTTAGGTTTCAAAGACCAGGTCATTATGCGAAAATCGGTGTTATGCAAAAATGGAGGATGACCACATCAGATCACAAAATGGAGGATGACTACATTATTACATAACTGCCAAATTACATCATTACACAACTGCCAACTTACATCATTACATAACTGCCAAACCACTGAGAATCATGGCCCAGCCAAGTTGACACATATCCTTAACCATAACAGCCAGCATTACTCTCACCTCTGCACCTCAGCATTCGTTACTGCCAGACATACATCGTTACTGTGAAAAATAGTTGGATAGTAGGTTTTTCACTATTGTCATAAATGCAAAATGACAGATGTCATGGATTGAATTGTGTCCCCCAAAAATATCTGTCAGCTTGGCTGGGTCATGATTCCCAGTATTGCATGATTGTGTACCATTTTATAATCTGATCTGATTTCCTTATGTGTTATAAATTGTATCACTATGATATAGTAAGATGGATTAGCAGCAGTTATACTGATGAGGTCTACAAGATTAAATAGTGTCTTAAGCCAATCTCTTTTGAGATATAGAGAAGGGAGCAGAAACACATGGGAACCTCACACCACCAAGAAAGTAGTGCTGGGAGCAGAGCACGTCCTTTGGACCTGCGGTTCCTGCACAGAGAAGCTCCCAGACCAAGGGAAGACTGACGACAATGACCTTCCTCCGGAGCCGACAGAGAAAGCGTTCCCCTGGAGCTGATGCCCTGAATTTAGACTTGCAGCCTACTAGATTGTGAGAGAATAAATTTCTCTTTGTTAAAGCCATCCACTTATGGTATTTCTGTTATAGCAGCACTAGATGACTAAGACATCGGATAACGAGATAGTCGGTAAGTGAGGAGTAGGTGTATTTTAACCTTTTTCTTCGCCGTGAATCTCCATTTACTCTTAAGTCTCAACTTGGTGAATATAAGAGGGAGGGGGATAGGAACGCTGAATTAATCCTCTTCTCTTACTAGTGTCTCCTCTTCTTTTCCTCCAGCACTAGCAGCACTTGCTGGAATTCTCAAGATGGGGTTCTTTGACAGAGTCCCCCTTCACTCAAAGCATTAAGAGTTGTAGAGCCAGGTCAAGAAAGGAAATCGAGTCCCCAACTGAATTAAGAGACAGAATCGCTAAGTCCAAAGTCAACCTGTAGTCATAGGCTCCAAACACTGAAAGATAACAACTTTAGTTTCTTATGTCCTTTATTCTGCCCAGATATTTAGGGAGGCTCAGACCTCCAAGCACACTGGGCTAGGCCATGGCTACTTGAACCATATAATTATTTCAAACAACTACTGATGAGTCAGGAATGGCACAATACACAGTTGGCAAGTACTGTTGAATGAATATACTCTAGTATTTGAAACGAACAGAGAATGAACATAGTGGAAACACGGCAAAAGCCTTCCCTGTATCTGACCAATGGGTCTCCTTCCTCCCTGCACTACAAAGATTCTGCTGGGGCTTCAAACGCACCTCTCAGATCAATAACGGAAACCTGAGCTGCTGACAACAGTACTAATTCAAAAATAGCTCTCTCCTGTGGCCACATGTGCTGGTCTTATACTTCTAATGCATGCTTATGAGCAAATATTGCTTAAGAACTTCACCAAAATTGTTTGGCTACACCTTGGAACTCAGTGGGTAAAATGAGTATAAACCTTAAAACCTTAAAGGAAGCAATTTCTGGTCCAACTTTAGCATTAAAACCCCTAAATCATCAAATTCATTATCCTAAGCAAGATAGCATCACCACCACCCAGGTTCCCATGTCCCCTTCCCTCTGATGAGTGTAAACAAGGCTCCAAATAAATGAAATAACCCACGTATAGACTAACCATAAGCCCAGCTTCAGGTATGGAAGGAAAGAATGGAAACATTCAGCATGTGGGTCTATGGCGTCAATGAACTTGGAGGCTAGAAGATTCTCAGACCTATAGTGGGACCTCAAAAAACATCTGATAAACTTCTGATATGTCTAAGTGAAAGTGACTAAATAAGCAAGGAGAAGGGACTGAAATATAGTAAAATATTAATGGAACTCATGAAAGTACAAGTGCTAGAGAGCTGTCAGAAATTTTAGCATGGTAGAACGTAATCAGAACCAAGCCACTGCCCTCCCCACTTTCTGTTTTAGAACCATAAAGAAACTGTTCTGTAAAGGGGGAAGGAAAGTCATCGTCTTCACATGAAGCAAGCTAAGACTCAGCTTAATGTATCTACCCAAGATGTAACAGCCTGTTCAGAATCCAGGCCTCCCTCATTGTGCCATACACACAGCCCTCATTCATCCTCTACTTGACCTTGGACAGTAATACACAAGTAGGGCTAGGTGCTGTGTAATGCACTAAAACTCATTCTTCTCCCCTCGTCATCTGATCCGGAACCACAAGTTCAGTTAGGAAGTGAGCAGTAATCAGTTGTCCAAGCTAAGTGACTCTTAGGAAAGCCCTGATAGCAGATTAATATAGTGTGTGGTATTTCTTATGGCATTTGAGAGGTCACAGGTTGCAATCATTTTCGTTCCCATTCTCTTCCCAGATTTAGGAGAAATAAAATGGTTATGGATCATTCTGTTTATTAGATTTCTCAGTTCTCTAATCACCGCTGATTCTGAATATAGTTACTGTGTATCTGTGATGATGCAGACATGTTATAGTCAGAAATGAAACATTGGAAATCAGTAAGAAAGCACGTAAAACAATCTTCCTTCATGGACATTTTCATTGAGCTGAAAATTATACTATGAAATCCACCGAAGTACAAACCACCTTCAACGAAATTCTCTTCCCACAAAAATCACTCACTTCTTTAATTAAATTAGCCTAACAGTCCCCTAGAAGATATGCATTCTAGAGGAGGCAAGAAGGATTTAGCTGAAAGGATCCAGTATTTTAGTGTTAACTGGGATATGTATGTAACCCCTCCCCAAAACACTGGTAAAAACTATCTTTCCCTACTTTATGCTACAACAGTTCAAGACCATCACCTAGTTCATTTTTTGATGAAACAGACTTGCACCTATTTTTCAGGGCTAGAAAAAGAAAAGCAAAAATGAGGAGATCACTTAAGCACCTAAAGAGAGCTCTACTTTCAGGCTAAAAACTCAAAACTATTATACACGACTTCCCATTTAAAATTTCTATTTCTGACCCAAATACTTGGGCTCTCAAAAAGTTGTCAAGGAGTCCTGATTATTTAAAAAAAAAAAAAAGCCTTCAGTGAGAGTATCTGTAGCCCAGCCTGGGAAAAGTGGATAGAGATGCTGTAAAATAGATTCCATTATGCCAGGAAGGGACAAAAGAGTGCCGAAAGGAAGTCAAGGAGAGATAAGATGCAAGAGATTTATTCCACTGTTCAAAAATAGAGGTCTAAGGAGCTACTCCTCTCTAAGCCTCGTTTCAGGTTCACAAAAATAAGAAAAAGACATATGGTAAGAAATAGAACCTGGGCTGGTTTAGTTCCCAAGAAGTTTCCTTAACCTTAGTCTCATCATTCCACCAGTGAGCATCAGCAGCAAAGGAAGGAAAAAACCCCTTTTCTGCCCCGACTATCTAGGAGAACTTCTACACTGAGGTTATTCATACCTGGCCATCTGCTTGTAGGCTTCTTCTGCCACAGCAAAGATGTGGGGGTCCATGTCACCCATATTTTGGCCACTGTAAGCATAGATGACATCCTGTCCATAGATTGGCAACTGTTCATATGGATTAATGGCAACGAGCACAATACCTGCAAACATACAAGGCAGTCAGATTCTGGTAGCCCAATGGTCACCTGGCATCAGCTTTTAAATGCTCCCACTTACAAACATCAAAACTAAAGAGTGAGATGGTAACAGAATGATTCTTAACCAATCAATCAAATCAAGAAGTATCCGTGTGCTTACCAGGTACGGTGTTGGGCCCTAGTGAAGAAAGAATGAGACACAGGCCAGACCTCCAAACACCCTATAGTCTGGAGTAAGAATGTGTGTGCATGCGCGCATGCCCACACACACACACACACAAATACTCAACAAAATGAGTCTGTCTTATAGATACACATAAAGTGTTGCAGGCTCAAAGAAAAAGAAAGCCAATAGATGTTAAAGAGACTTAACAATTCATCTTAGAATTACAATGTGGGAAAAGGAATATTAATTTTGTCATTTGTATATGGGTGATTTTTAATTAAGATACAAACAAGTTGTGGGCAGGGAATATCATTTACATATTTTAAGGTCAAATATTGATTCAGTCTATTACTAGCTGTGTAACTTTGGCAAATTACTTAACCTCTTATTGCTCCAGTTTCCTCAACTCTAAAATGGGGATAATAATTGCATTTTTCTGGGTTGTCCTGAGGATAAAATGATTCAATACATAGAGAGTACTCAGATCAGTGCCTTGCATAGTAAGCACTGTGTGTTTTTTAAAATTACATTGTATTATATTGTGCTATATCATATCACATCACATATTATTGTAATTTTTATTATTTCATTATTTTTCTACTTCTTGGGTCCCCAAGAGGATACAATGGAATGAATGATGGGCTCAATAAATACATGTTGATTGAAGAATCAGAAAATCCTACAGGGTTTCAGATCGTGTGTGTGTGTGTGTGTGTGTGTGCGCGCGTGTGTGTGTGTGTGTGAAGTAGGTTAATAATATTTGAGAATGTAAAAATAAAAAAATACACATTAAATCTTCAAGACAAGACAGAACTCATGTCTATTTCTTTCACATAAAACTGCATTCTGGATCTCAGAAGACCCACTGGCCGAGGTAGCCACTTCTAGTCATTTGGGGAAGAGGAGGAAAAAATGGAAAGGCTCATTGTCGAGATGGGAAATCTCCTATATTGTGTCTCCTTCTGGTGTTTTAAAGAGACTCAGGAAACCTGAAGCGTAATAAACCAGACTATTCTAAGTAGAGGGGAAAAGGCAAGGGGAGGGAAAAGACATATACAAGACCTCTTCTGGTAGAAGTTTATCTGAAAAGACAACCTAGGTTGAAAAATAAGGCCCCACACCCTGATAAATGACACTAATAAGGCTCACAGCCTTGAAAACCCTATGGAGGTCAGTTCTACTCTGACACACATGGGGTCACCATGAGTCAGAATTGACTCAGCAGCAACTAACAACAACAAATAAGGCTCACCATTGGTTCTAACTCACAAAAAAAAGACCAGACTTACTGGCCTGACAGAGACTGGAGAAACCCTGAGAGTATGGCCCCCAGACACCCTTTTAGCTCAGTAATGAAGTCATTCTTGAGGTTCACCCTTCATCCAAAGATTAGACAGGCCCATAAAACAAAACGAGACTAAAGAAGCACACCAGCCCAGGGGCAAGGACTAGAAGGCAAGAGGGGACAGGAAAGCTGCTAATACAGTCATGAAGGGAGAGTGTTGACATGTTGTGGGTTGTTAACCAATGTCATAAAACAATATGTGTACTAACTGTTTAATAAGAAGCTAGTTTGTTCTGTAAACCTTCATCTAAAGCACAATAAAAAAAATTCTAAAAAGAAATCAAATAAGGCTCACCACTTGGAGAATCACCAAGAAAATGCAGCCTCACATTTCCACTGGGTATATTAGTGAGGTCTATAAAACCCTAATTCATGCAGTATTCAATGCAAATTTTGATATATCCTGAGGTCACACATTTTCTTAAAATGTCCCAGCCCCCTTCAGAGCAGAAAGGAGTGCTTCCTTGATGATTTAAAATTCTATGGGGTGTCACTCATGGTCTGTCTGTACAGCTGCACGTGGGAGAGTTAAAGTGCATTTGGATAAATGCGTCAGGCACCAGGATCTCTCTGAGAGAGGAGTTCTTTAAAAAATGAAGCTGATGGTCATGTATCCTTTCTCCTGAAATGGTGGTAGAATTTTTTTTTTTTAATCATCTTATTGGAGGCTCTGATAATTGAAGATTTCTTTCAAATAAAATTCCCACTAACGACTGGTGTAAAAGGGCCTTTGGGAAACTCCTTCTCAAGCACTAAAATCAACATGCTGTCACAGCTCCTGAAATTTGGCAGAAAAATTCATCCTAACTTAGTAGCTAATCTACCAATTCCAAATCAAAGTGAAAATAAAAAATACAAACAACACAAAAGTGGGGAAAAAAAAAAAACAAATCCTAAGTACCTGAGGCATAACTTGTGATTATGAACAAGACCAGAACTCTGATGCGTAACCAGGACGGCTCCCACAAAGAAAGTCTCTGTCCTGACCCTGATGTGGGAGTTAGACCCCTAAACCAGATCCTAAGTGTGTGTGCCCCTGAAGTAATTAACAGTTGGAAGGTTCTTGCTTCTACCATACCACTTAATCCGCTAACAAAGAGAAATCAAAATTTGGAATTCAGAAAATTGAGAAATTTCAAGAAAAACAGAATAGAGGATTTCAATACTTTTCATTTTGAGCATTTATTGTGACATTTATTCGTTAATGTAACCAATATTCATTTTGTACCATGTTTGCACAAGGCAAGTGAGAGGCTCAGAGAGAAAGGCAGCCCTCTGAAGCAGAGAGAAAAACAAGCCATGGATAAATTTATAGGAGTATGTTGGTGGTGAGAGCAGGTGACAAGCTAGGACACAGTGATGTACTTACTTCTCTCCTACTGATTCCAAGGACTAAGGCTACATCTATCCCTCTACCTGGCGTGGCCTGTTTCTTCCCTGCTTGAGCTGTGATTAACACCAACCATCCCACAGAGATGTGGGGCGGCCTAATTAAGCAACATTCACCCACTGCAAATCTTTCAAGGGTCTCAGCAGAGGGGTACTTCTAAATGAGACAGTGAAATTAGGATTCTTAACCATTGTGTTTAATACGTAGAAGTCTAAGGATTGTAAGCACCTTCAAGCACACGCAACCTACAGATGCCCCTCACTTACCACAGTAAGTGTAGATGTGATTCGACTCCAGGAAACGGACCTTTAGATTATGCAAAACTGCAGGCTCATGCAGATAGCTAAGGGCAGTGAGGTCATTTTCTCCCACCAAAATATCCGGATTCCGTAAGAAAGGCAGCTGGTTCTTTTGGACATCAACTGGATACTCCTGGATCTAAAGGAATGTGAGTAACAGACACACAAAAGGCACAGTTATAAAGCATTTAGCCTGTATTCAATGCCCTGTCTTGTTGGCTAAACTGTTATTTTAACAATGATCACAAGTGATGAAGATAAATAACATGGTTTAAAGAAAGGCAAACTGAACAAAATACCTGTGTCGCTATAAGACACCAGACTGGGTGAAAAATGTGCTGATAACATAACCTCAGCATATCCAGTTAAAAGACGGACTGACATAAGAAATTCAGAAAGCACAACCACATTTAAACAAGTGCTCCATTCCTTTTTTATGAAAAAATACTTACTGAGTCTTTAATTCCAAAGGCAAAAGGAGCACTGTTCTTTCTCCCATCTGGGAAACTTTCCTTGACAGGCCTTAATTCAATGCTGCTATCTTCCTTTACTCTCTCCTATCAGCCAACACACTCATTTTTTCATTTGGATTGTTTTGTAACTGATGAACTGCCCTCAGGTTGCACCATTTGTACATACATTTCTCCACAACCCAATTGCAAACTTCTTCAGGGCAATACTTTTGCTTTGACCTTAAGTACAACAGAAGCCTGAGACACATGTGTGTAATCAGGAAGTATGATTATACATCTTAAAGTCAAATCTCAGATGCAAGGTTTTATCCTTGCATCATTAGCACAGAACTTGGCCTAGAGAAGCGCTCACGAATGTTCACTGACAGGATAAATTTACAAATCTGGTTACATATATAAAAACCAAAACAAACAAACAAAAAAACCCAAACCCATTGTCATCGAGTCAATTTTGACTCATAGTGACCCTGTAGGACAGAGTAGAACTGCCCTATAGGGTTTCCAAGGCTGTAATCTTTACGGGAACAGCCTGCCATGTCTTTCACCCATGGAGCAGCTAGTGGGTTTGAACTGCCAACCTTCTGGTTAACAGCCAAGCTGCTTAACCACTGCACTACCAGGGCTCCTGGTTATATACACATACGCACACAAACATATACATCCAATTTACAAACAGGTGGTGGTGGTGGTTGTTCTTGACAATAAAACAGGACACATCGTGGCTGCTGCTCATCATATTTTATCGGAGTGTTCATTTTCTCATGATCTTCATAAGAATCATCTGAAGCTCATAAAAACAGTTTCTCAAACCCAACTTCTAGAGACTATGTTTCAGGAACTCTGGGGTGGGGCCCAGAAATCTGACACTTTTAGAAATACCCCAAGTAATTATAATATACATAGCCTACAAACCATATTTTAAGAATCACTGTTCCATATAAGCCTTGTAGGAAACTCTATGAACATAGCCCCAATTTACTGGGATAACAGTCTAATTTTTAAGAGCACAGAAATATCAACATGTCATTTCCCACCCCCCACTTTTAGAGGGACTTGTACTGCCAGATGGTAAGGTATATTATAAAGCCAGCAATTAAAGCACTATGATAATGGTGCTGAAATAAGCAGATAAATGAAATGTAACAGCAGATCTGCAAATACACACAAGCACATATGGGAAATGTGTACCTGATACAGGTAAAATTGCAAATAAATGGTTAAAAAGAATTTTTCAATAAATAGTGTTAGGAAAACCAGCTGGCCATTTGTTGTTGTTGTTGTTGTTGTTGTTAGGTGCCATCAAGTTGCTTCCAACTCATAGAGACCCTACATACAACACAATGGAACACTGCCCCATCCTGTGCCATCCTCATCCTGTTATGCTTGAGCCCATTGTTGCAGCCACTGTGTCAATCCACTCGTTGAAGGACTTCCTCCTTCTCACTGACCCTCTACTTTAGCAAGCATGATGTCCTTCTCCAGGGACTGGTCCCTCCTGATAGCAGGTCCAAAGTATGCGAGACAAGTCTCACCATCCTCGTTTCTAAGGAGCACCTCAGTTGCACTTCTTCAAAGACAGATTCGTTCGTTCTTCTGGCAGTCCATGGTATATTTGGTATTCTTCGCCAACACCATAATTCAAAGGCTTCAATTCTTCTTAGGTCTTCCTTATTCATTGCCCAGCTTTTGCATGCATCTGAGGAGAATGAAAACACCATGACTTGCATCAGGCTCACCTCAGTCTTTAAAGTGACATCTTTGCTTTTTAATACTTTAAAGAAGTCTACTGCAGTAGATTTGCCCAATGCAATGCATCATTTGATTTCCTGACTGCTGCTTCCATGGGAATTGATTGTGGATCCAAGTAAAATGAAATCCTTGACAACTTCAGTCTTTTCTCTGTTTATCATGTTGTTGCTTATTGGTCCAGTTGTGAGGATTTTTGTTTTCTTTATGTTGAGGTGTAATCCATACCGAAGGCTGTAGTCATTTGGGAAAAAAAATGTTAAGCCAGAGTTCTCATCTTGCTCCATCATACCAAAACAAATTTTAGATGAAAAATGTAAAAAATGAAAAATAAAACGAATTAAGAAAATGTGGATGAATTTTAATTTTTATAAGTTTTGGAAGGAAGAACTTTTAAAGGATGGTCCAAAAGTCAGAATTATATAGAAAAATATTCATAAATCTAACTATAATATACCCCAAAAACCCACTGACATCGAGTTGATTCTGACTCATAGTAACCCTATAGGACAGAGTAGAACTGCCCCATACGGTTTCCAAGGCTGTAATCTTTACAGAAGCAGACTCCTACCTACATCTTTCTCCAGTGGAGCAGCTGGTGGATTTGAACTGCCAAACTTTTAATTAGCAGCCAAGTGCTTTAACCATTGTGCCACCAGGGCTCCTTAACTATAATATAGAAACTTTAAAACTATCATAAAACACATGATATGCAAAGTCAAATGGGAGAAGGGTGCAGAGACACTCCATTACATGATAGAATTAATAATCTTAATATCCAAAGAAATTTAAGAAATCAAAAAGAAGACCGACACCCAACAGAAATATACAGAACACAAATCACAAAATAAGACATATGGACAACCTACGCACAACTCAACTTGACCAGTAATCAAAGAGATGCAATTAACAGATTATTAGCACTAATGTTATCCATCAGCTAAACACAGATTAGGCCATTTGGGTGGCACAGTTAAGCACTTGGCTACTAATTGAAAGGTTGGAGGTTCGAGTTCACCCAGAGGTGCCTCAGAAGAAAGGCCTGGCTGGTGATCTACTTCTGAAAAGTCACAGACATTCAAAACCCTGTGGAATGCAGTTCTGCTGTGACACACATGGGGTCGCCATGAGTCTGAACTGACTTGACAGCAAATTTTTTTAAGACAAGATCTAAAGACTGTTAAGACCAGAAGTAGGAAGTGTGTGGGCAGCCAGGTATGCTGTTTGTGGAAACAGATTTGTTCAACCTTTCTGGAGAGCAGCTAACAACATGTATTCAGAATTTTTCATGAATATACTCTTCTCCCTTGTCCTCAGGAAATAATCTTACAAGTGACCAAAAATATGGAGTCACTGAAGCTATACACAGTGAAAGCAAAACATGATACAGACACGTATTTACTGTCAGGTATGTCACCGAAATATACAGTATGATTCCATTTATTTAAGATTGTGTATTAAAGTGTCTGGAATGACATTCCCACAAATGTCTATGTTAGTGGAGTTATCCTCTTTGTACACTTTCCTGTTGTCTGGTTTTTCTTTTCTATATATGTATAAAAAAACCCAAAAACCCATTGCCTTCAAGTCGATTCCAACTCATAGCAAACCTACACGACAGAACAGCACTGCCCCCATAGGAGCAGCTGGTGGATTCGAACTGCCAACCTTTTTGGTTAACAGCCAAGCTCTTAATCACTCTGCCACCAGGGCTCCATATATATATGTGTGTGTGTGTATAAATAAATAGAGGCCATTTACTCTTTGTGAAAGGCTCTTTTTATTTACCAAAACTTGCAAAAGCCAGAATCAGTGTAAGGTGGAAACCTGTCAGAGAAGGAAAACTCTAATATTTGCCACTAAAACATGCAATATGAAAGTGGTAGGACTGCACCCCGCCAAAGGCGAAAAATTTGCAAGACTTGGAAAAAAAAAGGCAACTCGACTTTGTCCCGTCTAGTTCCAGCTCTCACAGTTTTCACGGTATTAAACCTTCCCCATAGGAGAGAAGTAAACAATTAACTACCATGAAGAAGATGCAGGCAACATTTTCAAAAGGTGAGAACAAGAAGAAATGGAGGTACTGAGAGTCGGGTTTTTATTTCATGAAATTCTAGAGTTGGTAGCCTCCTTCATTTGCTGACTTAGTGGTATCACTGAAACTCTACTCAGGCCCCCCTCCACGAGCTACCTACAAAGGCTCACAGTGGAGTGTCCCCCCATGTGGCTCTCCACCCCATCTCCTCAGCAGCACAGGGAGCAGCCAATTGTAGGACCGCTCAGCTCACCTAGCCCAGCCTCTCAGTTTTCAGATCAGAAAGCCAGGACCTCAGCCCAGAGTCTTTAAATCCTGAGGCAGAAATACCAGCATTCCGTCTTTTCTCAGATGAATCTCCTCTCGCTTCTCCCTGAAGCATGTAGAAGGAAACGCATATGCAATTTTGTGAAAACACAGTCCTCAGATAAGCTAGTGGTATTGGTTACAGTAAAACTGATAAGGAGGGAAAATGCCCAGAGCAGCAGAAACCAGGTAGGAGCTGCAAGCTCAGCATCTGAAGCTAGATTCTTGGTGTGTGTACACCCAGAGGGAAGGAGGGAAGGACTTAGGAACAGATTTTTTTCTTTAACAGAAATCTGATTCTAACACTACTGCTAGTGTCGAACATTTACAGCTAAAATGGTTTCATTTGAAATCTAATAGTTTATGGCAGGGATCAGGAGCCATGAATGCATGAGCCTTTGGAGTTAAAAAGGAGGCTGAATGTTGACTCCCAGCACACCAATTAATGCTCAGTCACTTACCCAGAGTAGACCTCAGCCTCCTCCTGAAGACCAGGAGCTGAGAATCAAGAACATATGGGGGTCTCCACTGGTCCCCACCTAAATATGTAACTAGACAACAATTAAGAATGTATAGGGA